AATAACCATGCAGAGACCTAATAATATTAATTATAAATGATTGGTAACAGCTCGTTTTTAGCTAGCTCTTACAACTTTTTTTTTTTTTTTTGATTTTTCGAGACAGGGTTTCTCCATTTTTTTTTTTTCCTGTCCTGGAACTAGCTCTTGTAGACCAGGCTGGCCTCGAACTCACAGAGATCCACCTGCCTCTGCCTCCCGAGTGCTGAGATTAAAGGCGTGCGCCACCACCGCCCGGCTGGCTAGCTCTTACAACTTTGATTGTCCCACTTCTATTAATCTATGTGCTGCCCCAAGACTCATGTCCATACTTCCCACCCTGTTCACTCTGAGTCTCCTGGTATCTCCGCAGACTCTGCCCTTCTTCCCACCATTCTCTTTGTCCCGAAAATCCTGCCTAACTATCGGCCAGTCAGCTTCTTATTAACAATGAAAGCAACACATCCTCAGAGTGAACAGAAGGATTATCCCACAGCAAACCTCCATGCTAGCTCCTGGATTACTGTCACAGGCATAAACGTGTGGCTTGAAACCCAACACAAATTCCCATCTCACAATCCTGGAGCTGAAATGAGCCCCACCGGGCTAGAGGTGAGTGTCAGCCAGGCTCCGAAGGGAGATGGTTTCTGGCCTCACTGGGGCACCAGGCCATGTGCAGAGAGGGACTTCCTGAGGGAAGAGAGCCAACAAATAGAGCCCTAAATAGTGTGGCCATGCTAAGGCCAAGGGAAAGCTGGGTACCTGTCACTGCACCCTAAAACACAAAACAAGGCTCTGCTTACCCTGGGGCCACATGCTCCATGATCCTACAGTGAAGCATGGAACCTATAGAGAGGGCTTGGTAGGGGAGAGGATACTGCTACTTCCCTGCCCCTCCTTACCACACCCTGAGCTCTATAGGAAGTGAGGGAGACTGTCTCTCAAGATCAGCTGAGGAGGGGAGGGATCTGGGCACTGATTTGAGTCTCTGTGTTCCCAGTTACTGGGCAAAGATGCAACACTGGTTCAGTGAGAGAGAGCCAGGTGGAGGGAGAGCCAGGTGGAGGGAAAGCCAGGTGGGGAGGGAAAGCCAGGTGGAGGGAGAGCCAGGTGGAGGGAAAGCCAGGTGGAGGGAAAGCCAGGTGGAGGGAGAGCCAGGTGGAGGGAAAGCCAGGTGGAGGGAGAGCCAGGTGGAGGGAAAGCCAGGTGGAGGGAAAGCCAGGCAGGTGTTGGGCATGGTAGTTGCCGGGAAGCAAACGGCACAACTGTTTGTTCAGAGAGAGACAGGAGCCAGTTCTGCAGCACAGCAGACTTCTCTGAGCACTTGATAGGGGCAGTAAAAAGCAGGGTGAGTGTAGACCTGAGTGGGGGGGGCGGGGAGAGCAGACAGAGACTACAGAGGTGCAAAGGCCCTGTAGCAGGAGTGTGTTCCCAGGAGAGTGAGGAGAAGACTAGCCACACAGATCTTCCTCGTTCAGCCTCTGGCTGCTGGGCTTAGAATAGACCAGTGAACCAGTGAGGGGGAAGGAGGGCTGTGGAGGAGGGAGGAGGAGGAGGGGTGTGAAGGAGGAAGGGGGGGGGGGCTGGGAGCACACAGAGTCTCCCACAGTGCTGGGAATGAGAACCGAGTAGGTGAGGGGTGAGGCCTTGGATCTGAAGCTCAGGTAAATGCCGCAGGTGACAAGGGTCCCAAAGATGATTTTCGTGGATGAAGGGGAAGCTGAGAGAACCTGCCGCCAGAGGAAGGAGAATCCCATTTCTGCACAGGGTCACTCACACAGGGCAGACAGGAGCCTGTGACAGGGTCCGGTCAGAGGGGTCCTCACCACCCTGTGCGAGTCTCTCCACAGGCTTGTCAGGTCAGAGTGCCATATCCACAGAGCAGACTCCAGGGTCATCTGTCCTCAGCCTGAAGGGCCACAGCCCAGCTCCACCAACCGACTGGCCCTAGAGCTGTTCATTATGACAGCTCCCAACACACAGCTGGCCAAGCTGACAGGAATAGAAAGAAGCCTTTGACACTTCCACACAAGCAAAACAAACGGCCAAACTGTCAGGCCCCCAGTTAGACCTGGTGGCACACACTTGTAATGGCAGCTACTCTAGAGGTTGAAGCAGGAGGGTAAAAGTTCAAGGCCAGTATGAACTACAGAGTAAGTTCACAGCCAGGCTGGACAACTTAGTAAGACCCTATCTGAAAACATAAATAAATAAATTTATTTATTACTTTGTTTTTGGTTTTTTTGAGACAGGTGGCTCAGGTTATTCTGGAACTTACTACATAGACCAGGTGGCCTTGAACTCACAGAGATTCACCTGCTCCTGCCTCCCAAGGGCTGGAATTAAAGGCATGAGCCTAGCTATAAATAAAATTTTTAAAAGGTTGGGCATGTAGCTCAGAAAGACGCTTGCATTCATGCAATCTCGTGCTCAAACCTCAGAAATGGAAAGAAAAATCCCAGCAGGGAGCGGCTGGCAGCTCCAGATTTGTCCCAGCATCCTCAGGCTGGGGAAGCTCCTGGATAGGGCTCCTCCCACGCGCAGCAGGGCCGGGCCCTTTGATGAGGATCCCAATGACCAGCCCGCAAGCAAGGACGGGGCGGGGGCCCTGGGCAGAGGGGAGGGAACTCTGTCCAGAGCTGGGATTGATTCATCAGTCTGGGCTCTTGGCCCAGACCTGGGATTAAGCCCTGAATCTGATCCAAGACTGGCTGCGAGAGCAGCCAATGGGCGCTTGGCACCGGGTCCCAGGCTGGAATGTTTGAGCTCAGCAGAGAGGGGACAAAAGTCAAAGTAGACCTAATGGGTAGATGGTAGCAGGAAGGAGAGAGGTTGTTCTAGGCGCATCCGCTCCCACTGCATCACAGGCCTTCTTCCTCGTGACGTCACACCTCCCACGCGCCAGCCACCTGCACACCTTCCAGTTGCAGAGGTCGCTCACTTATCCGAGCTCCTTAACTGGTTGGCGCTTGAGCTTTTTCTTTCTTTCTTTTCTTTTTCTAGGGCAGGGAGCGGCTGGGGAAAGGGCTCAGTGTCTGCCATAGGTGAGGACCTGATTTACAGCACCTACGTAAAAGTTGGGACTGGAGCTGGACTTGGCTTAGCAGCCAAGAACATTTGCCGCTCTTGCAGAGGACCCAGGTTCATTTCCCAGTACCCATGAGGCAACTCAAAGCTGGTTGTGACTCCTGTCCAGAGATCTAATGCCCTCTCTTGCACCAGGCACACATGTGGTGCACATAAACACACACAACCAAATAGTCATTTACATAAACTAAAAATAAGTACAATATATTTATTTTATTTTTATTTATTTGTTGGAGCTTTTATTTTTATTAATATATTTATTGCCCGTTGCTTTTTGTTTTTTGTGATAGGGTCTCTCACTCTGACCTGGGCCTTGCTGACTTGGTCAGGCTAGGTAACCAAAGAACTGCCAGGGATCTGCCTGTCTCTATCTCCCAGCAATGAAACTACAATGAGCTCTACCAGCCCCATTTAAAAAATATATTGAGCCAGGTGGAGGTGGCACATGGCTTTAATCCCAGAGGCAGGTTGATATCCAAGTTTGATTCGATGCTAGCCTAGTCTACAGAGTGAGTTCCAGCACAGCCAGGGCTACACAGAGAAACCCTGTCTCGAAAAGCAAAACAAAACAAACAAACCAACAACAACAACAAACAGAAAGCAACCAATGTAGATAGTGCCGAGGAACACCTACCCAAGGTTGACTCCACATGCTCACGTGTGTGCGGGGCACCCGTGCATACACATGCACCCAAACACACAGATAGACAAATGCATGGACACAGTGAGGAAAGGGACAATGTGGCTGCCTGCTTTCCCATTCCACCATCTTCCCAGTGGGAAGGGCTCCTCACACAGGATGGATCTTGTAACCCCTGGTCTGGATGGACAGAGGTGCTATGTAAATGGATCATTGCCCACGAAGGAAGCACAAGGGGCCATGGGTCCACCTCTTTCTTTGGCAAGTAATTCAGGAGGACCTTGTACCTATAAGTGAGGGTCTTCTCTTCCCAACACCCTCAGCCTTAAATCTGGCCACTTTCCCCACAGTGTTCCCAGTCCCCTCCCGCCAGTAGCATCTTTGTACACATCGCTCTTTCATGTGCTGGGCTGCTCTTTGGGGACCTTGAACTTACCCCATCTCTATCCTCTCCCTGCTTCTCCACAGCAAAGCCCTCTGAGGGCTCCACCCTGATATCACATACCGAGGAGCCGGAACTTGACTTGTCAAATAATATCTGCTCAATAAATATTGGGTGATGTGATGGGCTGGGGATGTGGTGCAGCTGACCGAGTAATTACCTAGCATGCGCAAACCCCTGGCTGCCATCCCTAGCACCACACAAACCAGGTACTCTTGTAATTCCAGTACTTAGGAGGTGGAGGCAGGAGGATTGGAAATCCAAGGTCATCCTCAGCTCTACGTGACCTCTTCTCTAACTCTTGGCTGGAGCTCTGGGGATTTTCCCTGGGACCACATTCATTCACAGTGAGAAGACTGAACATAGTCTTTGTCTATGGCAGCAGTGGGGATGAGGCGGCTGGTCCTGCACATGGTCCTGAGCCTCCAGGAGATGCCTTGAGAGGCATGTCATGATCATCAGCTACAGCTGAAAGGCATGGAGCGGAAGTAGCTCCTCCATCGTTTCTGTCAGAGTTGGCAGCCGGGCGCTTGAGTCAAGGCGCATCAGAACGCCGCTGTGAGAATGTACTTTTCATTACCTGATATTGTCTTGCCTCTTCACTGAGTTTATGGAGTTGGTATCCGGATGCTCCCATTTTGCAGGTGTGAAAACTGGGATTCAGAGAATTGAAGATACTTGCTCAGGGTCACACCACAAGGAGATGAAAGAACAGACTCTACAGTTCAGTTCCCAAATTCTTCTCATTTAGCAGAGGGCAAATCATCCCCCCACCCGAGCTCACACATCTGGGAGCAGGGCTAACCTGGCTTTTGAGCCCAGATGGGCTTCATTACTGTATCTGGTTTAATTTCTAGGTCTGTGCCTTGTAGCCTGACTATCACTTGGTATTCTGGGCATTGGAGGGAACAAGGCCCTGACCTTCTGACCTGACCAGACCCAGGGTCATTCACACCCTAGACACTGGCCCAAGAATGCGGCTGCACTGGTCTGGTATGCGTGAGCCTAGCAGGGCTCAGAAGGGGAGGAGCAGGCAGCAGGCAGGAAGAAGCAGCTGGGCGTGGACAGGAGGCAAGGCAGCCTGTCCTGCAGGGATGCTGCGCCTGGCAGAGCTTGTTCAGCCCCACCTAGAGCCACCTTTGCAGGGTGACCTCCTTGCAAAGAAACCCTCATGGTGAGTGAAAGAGAACCAGGGATGGTCCTGGAGTGAGATTTCTGATCTTCAGAGTCGTCCCTTTGTGACTAGGCCATGTAGGGAGAAGGCCAGGGCCCTAGGGTTCAGAGCAATCACCATTCAACCATAGTGGGAGTTGTCTCCATATTTTGGCAACATACACAACTGTACAGGTGCATACCTGAGTCTAGGGAGGGTAGCAGAGAATCATGGGAACCTGTCTTCCAGGAGTGACTGCTGGGCAGGGCTATCCATCAGGCAGGAAAAGGCTGACAGGGGCCCCAGAGGGTGAGAGCCTGAGGTGAATACTCTAGGGGTGACTCAGGAGCAAGAAGGCTCAATGAGTCACCCTGGACCCTCTTCTGTGCCTGCTTCCAGAGCTCAGCTTCCTCTCTGGCCAAGGGGAAACTATGGGGAGCTCCAGGGAGGGGGGAACAGCTCGGGGTTAGGTATGAGTCAGCCCATGTGAGCTGAAGGGCCAGCTTGACTTTCCATTCGAAGAATTGTCCTGCAAGAAAAGTAAATATGTTACACAATACAGGGCAAAGCTAGGCCAGCCCCCTCCTGCCCTCTGGGAGTGCGGGGAGAAGAGAGACCTCAATACCTAGGGCTCTGAACACAAGCATCCCTTTGCACGGACTGCTCCCTACATAGGAGGTAAAGAGTGGTTAAGCCACTGTTGTGATCACATAGCCAGGGTTCAAACCCAGGCTGGCTTTGAACTGTGTTTTTCAGATAGTCCCCTAACTGCTTGCTTCTGTGTCCCAGAGCAGTGCTCCTCTGGCTGGTTATCTCACTGGGTAGAGCGTGGTGCTGATAAGATGCAGTTTCTTGGGTTCTCTAAAGACCCATTCAGTTATAATCTTAGGGAGAGAAACCTGAAATTGGACGTGGGGCCTCCCGCATGCCAGGCAAAGAGTAGACCATGGAACTCCGCCCACCACCAGCTCTTTTTAGTCTGTGTTTGGAGACAGGGTCCTGCTAAGTCACTCAGGATAGCCTTGAACTCATTCTGGAGCCAAGGTGGGCCTTGAACTTTTAATGGACCTGCCTCAGCCTCTGCTGAAGTGACAGGCCTATGCCTGGCTGGAATCTCTATCATAAGTGTTCCCCAGGTGAAGGCAGAGCCAGGTAGGAGATGGGAGAGGGACCTGGGCCTCCACCCTGGGAGGACAAGGCTTCATCCTGGTCCTGTGAGCATGACCCTCTGCTACCCCGCTGAGAGAATGCTGCTCTTCCTGTTTCAAACTGGTTCAAAGTGAGTGCCGAGTGTGCATTCCTCTCCAACTTCTGGGGAAATGCTAAGCACAAAGAGGGCGTGGGTAACCCTTGCAACAAAGAAGTCCCTCCTTCCAGCTTTGGAAAGGGACAGGTGTGAGAGGCCAAGGGTCACTGGTTGCTGAGCACTGGCTGGCCCGGCAGGTGCCTCCTCCATGAGGTTTGACCATCCTGGAACAAGTATCCACCCAGCCCCGGTGCTGGCCTCCCCGCCCCCGCCACAGCAGAGGGGATGACTCACTTGGCAGGAGGCAGCTTGGCAATGCTGAACTAACCCCATCTGGCCCCCAGAGGATGTACGAGTGAGGCCAGATCCCCCACCCCATCCTGCCTGCCCAGAGATGTGCGTGGGATATGTGTATACACACGTGCACACACACCCATGCATATACACACAGCTGCACCAGCCTTGGGCAGGCTGTTTTAGAACATGGAGCGAGAAGGTGGGTGAGGGCCAAGTGGAATTCCTCCCTTAATCTGTTAATTCCCTCCAACACTTCTGGACTGGGCCCAGCTGAGTCAGTGGGCACCAGGCCCAGTTGCCCTGAGCTTGGGAGTGGAAACTGTGGTGGGTAGAGAGAGGGATGTCCAGATTTGGGGCACATGCAGCTGACAGATGGGGCCACAGACCAGTCAGGCACTGTGACTCTCAGTATGGCTTCCCTTCCCAAGAGAAAAGGCCAGGATACCAGGTCCCTCCTGAGCAGGGAGTCCCGGGGGCTTCACTTCACAGGGAGCATTCAGGAGAATTGATCATCAGAGATGAGACCCTGAGTAAGATGCTATCAGTGTTGTTGTCGTTACTCTGTGGTGCTCCAGGCTTACGAGCCTGGTGCTCCCTGTGCACCGCCTTCCCCAAACCACTTCACATCCACCCACTCATCCACCCAGGAATTGTTGAGTGTTTGGGGAAATCTGGAGTTTTATTCAGAGCTCTGTACCTGGCATCCAAGGAGCTGATTTTGTCCCTGGTTTTGTTGAGTTCTCTAATCACAAACAGGCTGAGTTAGGGACTCACTATGAAGGGTCTCATCCCATGACAGTCACTCTGCTTTGACCCACTTCACAGATGGAGAAAACTGAGGCCCAGAGAGGCAAAAGGGTCTTGCTCATTGTTCCCCACAGCTGAAAAGAGACCAAGTAAAGATTCAAACACTGGTCTGTCCTGGCTGCCTCCCATCCTTCCCCACTGAAGACTTGTTCACTATCGGGGGACTCAAGGCTAACAATTTCTCATGGGTCCTTCCAGAAGTTTTCCATGTATACAAAAGCATATTGTACAGGTATTCCCACCCACCAGCTCTCTGCACTCCTTGCCTCAACCTCTAGAGTTCAAAAACTCTGTTTTTAAAATTACGTGTATGAGTGGGTGCACGCGTGGGTGTGTGCATAATGTGTGCAGGTGACAGCAGATACCTGTGGAGCCCAAGAGAAGACAGCAGATCTGCGGTGCTGGGGCCACCAAACCTGGGTTCTGGGAACTAACAGGGCTCCTCTGCATGGGCAGTGTGTTCTCTTGGCTGCTGAGCCAGACTCCCCTCCCCCACCCCAGCACCAACCTCCTTATTTTAAAGCCGTAGATCTGAGACTGGAGACTGACAGCTGAACTTGAATCCAAGTCTCTTGCTGCCATGATCAAGGCCCTTTCCACCGACTTGAACTCGAAGCCCTTTGGCTGTCTGTGAAGTCTCTCCGGAGTGCATCTTCCCAGATGAGCTCCCACGCCACTCTCTACCCCCACCCCCCTACTCCCCGCCCCAGGGTGGCACTGAGCACTCTCCGGTGTCTCTTCCACTCTCACTCCTACCCAGGCTCAGTTTTCCATCAGTCAACACAGAGATGCGTCCCTTGCTGCGGGCTGTGCGCTCGTGGGATGCGGGTCCAGCTCGGAATGGGAGAAAGCTCCGTGTTTCCACCAGCCTTCTGTCCCCAATCCTGTCTCACCCCAGGACATGCTGGCAGGATTGGGCAACGTTGCTATGCTCAGCCAGAACTAAGCAGCTTTTATGACCCACCATGAAGTCTCTATCATACCAGGGCCCGGGGTTATGAAAGTTTCAAGGGATTTTTATGTCCTCCCCAGCTGGCCTGGGTGACAGTAGTAGCCAAGCTTCGTGCTTGTTTGGGCTGGCACTGTGTGCAGAGCTCTTTTGTGACTTAGCTTCAGAAATTCCTTACAGCCTTTACGGATGTGGGTCGTTATCATCCTTTGACAAAGGGAGAAACTGAGACAGAGGGCAATAAGTAAAACCTGGCACAGAGAAATCTTTACTGGCCATAGGTGTCCAGAGAATCTGAATTCAGTACCATGCCGTAGGTGGTAGCTTTAGCCCTCACCAGTCACGTTGCCCCCATCTTGAATGTGATTTGTTGACCATACAGGGCGCAGGGACCCCAAACACCTTCAGTCTCCCACATCTGTCTGAGGTTCCAGCTGGGGAGTCATCAAAAAAAGGAGTGTCATGGTGTCTTGGTAAGCCCAGGTAAGCCCTTCAGCCAGGGGGCGCGCCAGGCCCGACGTGCCTGATGGGCGCGGCCTCGTGTGCCGGCGCAGGTGGACTGGGAGTCCCGGTTCTGGCTATCGGCTGCGCAGCCTCTGCTGTACCAGGCGGCGGGGGCGGTGTCCGGCAGGGACCTAGGGAGCGAGCCTGAAGCCCCGCCTGCAAGGTAAGCGCCACCTTCCTGGGGAGCGGCTGGCAAACGAGTGGCGGTCGATCGCCCCGCCCTGTCCCAGTAGTGACCCAGAGTCGCGGCCCTCTTCACTAGGGGCTCCGCGCGCCGCCGCCACCGCCGCTGCCTTTCACCTGAGCCCGCCGCCCGCTTTCGGTGCGCGCCGGGCCTGTCGCCGCGTCCCAGGTCCCTCCGTCCCAAGCGCCACCATGCACTCGCTCTTCAGGAAGAAAAACAAAGGCAAATACAGCCCAACGGTGCAAACCCGGAGGTGAGGGGGCACCCTGGGCTGGGATGCGGGAGACTCAGAGCTGAGCCAGGAGTTGGAGATGCGTGGAAACGCCAGGCGGAGGTCCCTCTGGAGCTGGGAAGTTCTGCTCTGGCGGGATGGGACCGGTGAAGGAAACACAAGGAAGTCTATTAGAGTCCCAGGATGCGCTACTTGGGGGTCTAGATAGGGGGTGCTTGAGTAGGGAGGGAGTACAGAGCACTGACTGTACCCCAAGCTGTAGAGTTGCCCTGAGCCTGGAATCTCGGTTGTGAAGCTTTGTGTGGCCACCCTGGAACTCTAGAAAAATAAGCTGGGTGTAGGGTGCTCCCCCGAGGGACTTGTAGACCGAGCAGGTGCGGCTGGAGTTGGACTGCGAGAGACGGTGGCTCCAAGGGTGGCTCACCTGTCCTAATTCTCCGCTGCTGCATCTGCCTACATGCGCTGGAGCACTCAAAGGCCGCGGTGGGTGCAGGGGCCGCGGGAGTCCAGATTTAGTTACTCCCAGGCTCTCGGGAGTCCCCGCTCAGCCCGGCTGGGTGGGGACGGGCCTCTTTCTCACAGCACGATTTCTGAGGGGTGTGGCTCCCGGCGCTTCTCCACCCCCTAGCCCCGAAACTGGCCGCGTCTGCTATCCCTGGGTTCCCAGGGCCGCCCGAGAAGCGAATGACATGTCTTGATGCGTCTGGATGGAGAAGCAGCCCACGTCGGTTTTGATAAGCCTAATGTATTCATTCGCTTAATAACCGGTTTAGGGGAGACTGGTGGAGTTGCTTAGATTGAGGGAGGGGGTGGAACTCGTGCCTCTGCCTTGAAACCTCCCTAAGGGAAGTGGGGGGTGGTCCTCCCCCAAAGAACTTCAGACAGATGAGAAGAGACAGATGTCACAGCTCACCTGGCTGAGAGATTCCTACTCCACTGGCCCAAGAGCAGTTCCGCCCCCCTCCCCAAACTCCAGATGGAGGCAAGAGATTCCACTCTGGGCCCCGAGCTTCCCCATTGGCTGTCTCTGCTGTTCAATCCAGACTACTTATGAGACAGGTGCCCTGGGCACCGCAGCCTGAAGTGTGGCCTTCAAGGTCTTGTGCTTTCAAAAGCTCTGCTGCCCCGTTGTCCCACGGACAGGGCTGTTGAAGCTCAGTCATTTCTTCCTTTGTTCGGAGGTCCCCTCCCCTCTTCTACCCTCCCCTCATCAACCCTGTCTTTCACAACCCCGGAGACTGGGCAAGGCCCTTCGTACTGTTCCTCTGTGTCTGATCCAGCTGGCTGTCAGTCCCAGCTGGAGTCCCATCCAGTCCTTGTGCTCCTCTCTTGAGTATTGCACAATCAGACACTCCGTGTCAGTCCCACAAGGGTCAGGCCCCTATGGTCCTCAACAGAAGAGTCACACATGCCAGGAGCTGGGCCAGGTCCCACCCCACACTCCCAGCCCTCCAGCCCGGAAGGCCTGGGCTTGGACCAACAGCAAAGCCAAGAGATCAGGGAAGGGAGGAAGGAAGAGCTCCATCTTCTCCAGCTGCGGGGACTCTGGGGGCACTGAGGTTAAGTACCGGAGTCCTGCCCTCCTGCTGGCCAAGGCAACCCACTTTGTCCTTGGCTAGCAGATTTGGCATGGGTCTCAGCCCAGAGGTCTCTTGCTCCAGGACAGGGTGAAGCCTCCTTTGGGCTCGCATGGCCTTGTGGTCACCGAGCCCTGAGTAGGGACCAGTCACCCTCTTCATGGTCTCCCAACTCAAAATGCCCTCTGTTTGTTCCCCACCCTCGCTGGAGGGCTAGTTCCTGACAAAACTGTGGTAGGCCCACCTTATACCTACTCAATTTCTTTTTCTTTCTTTCTTCCTTTCTTCCATTCTCCCTTCCTCCCTCTCTCCCTCCCCCTCTCTTTCTTCTTTTTTTTTAAATATTTATTTATTATGTATACAATATTCTGTGTGTATGTCTGCAGGCCAGAAGGGCACCAGACCCCATTACAGATGGTTGTGAGTCACCATGTGATTGCTGGGAATTGAACTCAGGACCTTTGGAAGAGCAGGCAGTGCTCTTAACCACTGAGCCATCTCTCCAGCCCTTTCTTCTTTTTTTTTTTAATTTTTTTTTTTGAGACAGGCACTTGCTGTGTAGTTCGGGTTTACCTGAAAACCCCTGTGAAGCCCAGCCTGGCCTTGAACTCCATCCTCCTGCCTCAGTATCCCCATAACTGGGACTACAAGAATTTCTGTAGCAGTGGCTGGTGTCCAGCCAGCCCTGTAGCAGGCACAATGATGATGGCGTGGTGGTGATGGTGTGTGTCCCCTTGTTGTTCTAAACTTTAGATGCTAGCCATGGGGAACACCCACTAAGTTTTCCCTCACTCCGTTCTCTGTGGCTTCTCTGTCGCTGTTGCAGGGAGAGTGTAGTCCTGGGGGAAGGAATTCGGGTCCAGGGAACAGAAGGCTTGCTGCTCATCCTGGTCTCATGCTGGTGGGAAGCTCTGAGCCTCAGTTTCCCTGCCTGCAAAGTATGGGATGATCGGCATTTCACCTGTGGAGGGCTGGAGGAAAAAAATTCCCAGCATATCAGAAGTACCAAAGCAAGAGTTGTTAGCGTTTTCCCAAGCTCAGGGGACACAGCAGCCCTGAGGAACTTTACACCCAGGCATCAAAGGACTTGGCCAGCACAAGTCCTTGTCAGGGGACAGAGAGGCACTCTCCCTGTTTGTCTGCCTTTTAGCAGCCGGCAGGGGTTGAGGGGTGCTAGGCAGGGTGTCAACCCCGCTGCTCCTGTCGCCCTGGTTCCTAATGACAGGTGTAGAAGTTGGTGTTCACACCTGATCTAATGACAGGGTCAGGTTTGGTGGTGCAGGTCACCAAGGACAGCAGCTAGACTAACAGGGAGGTACTGGAGGGCACGTGCTCCCTTTCTCCAGACTGGACAGCTTAGTGGGGATTCTTGACCTTTCTGAGCTACCTTCTCGCCTGGGATGGGGATAGCAGAGTGTCTCCTTGTGAGTATTGGCTAAAGATTAAATGAAATAACCCGGAGTAAAGGGTGAGAGCCATAGGGAGTGTCAGCATAAGGTAATGATGATGATGATGGTGATGATGGTGATGATGGTGATGGTGATGATGGTGATGATGGTGATGGTGATGATGGTGATGATGGTACAAAGGCAGGGTCTTTGTGGCCGGGGCTGTAGATCAGTTGGTAGAATGCTTGTCTACCGTGCATGAAGCCCTGAGTTTGAGTCTCAGACCTGTACAAAAACAAGCTTAATGCCTGTCATCTGAGCACTTGGGACGTGAAGGCAGGAGGGTCAGAAGTTCAAGGTCATCTCTGTAGAGGGATTGAAGGCAGCCTAAGCTGCAGGGGACCCTGTCTGAAAACAAATGTATGAATGCAGGGGATGTGCCTGCCCTCTACCCAGGAACAAACCGTGCTATTCCCAGGGGGTGGAGCAAAGCTCAGGGATACCTAGACAACTCCCTGCACTCAGTTGCTGGCGTCACAGTGGGAGATAAGATGAGGTTAAGCTTAAACACAGGTATGACCTTGTGACTGTAGGATTGATGGGGCCAGGAGGACAGAGCATCGTTTTGGCCAGACCAGGTCTGCAATTCACCCACTCAGTATTCTGGAATTGTGTAAGTGAGGTTGTCAGGTTGAAGTGCATCCAGGTCGTGGGGGAGGCGGAGGGCTTCCTGGGAAAGATGTCTGAGTGGAGCAGTTAAGATCATCTGGCTTTGGGGTCAGGCTGAATCCACAATGAGCAGTCTCTGTGAGTTCCAGGCCAGCCTGGTCAACATAGATTTTGTCTAAAAAATTAAATAGAACTGATCTCACACGTCCACCCCCAATCGTGTGCCCCTCCCACCCCGCCTGACCCTCATACCCTCTCCCAGAGACTGACAGCACCTCCTGGCCCTGTTGAGTCTTTCAAGAAGGCTGTGTTTGTTACTCATTGCTGGGACGAAAGCAGCTTAAGGAGGGGA